ATGCCGCAGGCGGGGGCGCCTCTTTATCGTTTTCCGATGGAATCGTATTTGGCGGAACGACAACGCGCATCGATGTGTTCCTCCCCTGCCCCCTTCCCGCCCTCCGCCGCGTGCAAACGTCGCGTTCCGTCATATTCGCGGGCGAGTGGATGCTCCGCGTGCGTCGTAACGGCGAGTCGAATCGTCGAGCGATACACTCGAACAATTCGGTCGAGAAGAGCGGTTAACTCGGGCGAAGAAGAGGCTGGGATTCCGGCCGCGACGCACGTCGACGTCCGACGCGCGGACGGCGCGTCACGAATATTATCCGCGAAAACGTCTCTTCCCTCTCGTTTTCTCCTTCTCCCTCTTCTTCCTCTTGTTCACCCCTTCTTTCTCCCAGCCTCAGTTCTCACTCTCGGTGCCGAAACGACTGCGAGATAGCGGGCAGGATAGCAGCCGGCGAAAAAGAGGTTCGACGCGCCTGACACGTTCTTTTCATCCGAGAAAAGAGAGCTCGCGGCACGCCGCTGCAGACGACTTCGTCCGGAGTACCCATAGCGCCCGTTTCCTCGCCAATTTTCCCCTCGCTGCGTCTGCAGCGCGTATACTGACTCGCGTCGCCGTGCAGTCACTTGGCAAGAGTGTTTCGCGATGCTTCACACATTAACGCGTGGGCCGTCGGATCGAAGAATCGCTCGATCGCACAATCGGCCGATTGATTCAGTGGACGAAATATATTCGCCGGCGATAAATCAATACTCTCCCGAGGGGTGATTATCGGGGGCCGACTTGTGTACACTCGCGAGTCTCTCTTCCTCTCGCGTTATCGGACTTATTGGATTCCGGGCTTCCTTTGTAAGCTCGTCCGGAGACGAGCTGGATGGGATAAATGCGGCGGCGGCTGTCAGAAAAGTAGGAATTCCCTCGGGGTTGCCATCGCCTGCGGATGAGAAGTTAGCGAGAAAGAGAGGAAGAAAGAGAAAGTAAGGGAGGATGAAAAGGAAAGCCACGAAGAAACGGAATGACAAGGGAGTGGAGAAGCAAGGGGGCCAGAAGGAGCGAGTAAACGAGACAAGGGTACAGGAGGAAGGTAAGGGGTGAGTTTTGCGGTAAGAACGGACGGGCCAGTCGGAGGGATGAGAGGACGAGCGAAGAGGGCAGCATAGAAGGGAGGATAGATTGCTGGTGCCAGGCTTAGGGGCGCCTCCATAGATCATAGAGGGTGCGTTTTGAATAATTTACTGAGGCTATCTGTTTCGCGCGCGAGCGGGCGCGAGCGGGACGGGGCGCAGGACCGAGAAAGGAAGAGAAGAGAGGGTGTCAAGGTTGCGCGGAATCGAGTTTACTTCCAATCACGGGCGAATTCCGATCGGGCAACGCCGCCGTCTTTTCGCACGACGGCGTTCGAACGATGAGAGAGAGGGGTGGCGCGAGATTGGGTAGAAATTATCCGCAGCTTCTTCCACGATTGAGGATACGACCGAGACTCGGAAGGTACAAGTTCGTGGGATGATGATACGTAATCTCGCTCGAAGGTGGAGAAGTCAATTTACCGCGGATTACTGTAGCGTTATCCGCCGAGAAGTTTCCTGAGATGTGTCCGACGAAAGTATGAATTTTGCCAAGCACGAAAATTGTCGAAGAAAAGGGGATAAGGTCAATGGGAATTGATCGCAGTTGTTAATGCGAATAATTTAATCTACAGGAGGATAATAAAGGGAAAGTACTAAACTGACATAGATATGTTAAACTAACATACTCATGTTTCTCAACTGTAGTGTTAAACTCTGTCGGACAGTGCACAAACTTCATCTACTGTGTACAGTGGTTAGAGCTGAAGTGGCAGTTTCTGTATGCAAACACTTTCGGTTGCGTTATTAGCATCGTTTGATTTTTCGTTGCGCTGAAATTGTGTTGAGCTTTCTTCTTGTGAAAATTAAAATAACAAGTCAACAGTAAGTAATTTATTTGATAATGCTATTTTATAGTGTAAGTTTTGAATTTTTTTAATCATTTTGGATCTCGTGTAAATCTTTATCCTCTGTCACTGAAGTGCGCAAGAAAAATTAGAGTTAGATTCTTCTGTAAACTGAGATATCTCATCTTCCAACCGACATATTTAAACTTTGCTGCAAAATATTATTTCGCAGAATACAGTTGAAGCTACCGGTGACTGATTTTCTCTTGTTTTTCTTGCTTGTTTCAGAGAGATCTCTTTCTTCATAATAAAAGATTAATATAGATCGTAAAATATATAAAATTTTAAAAAATACCTAAGATTAAAGATAACATGTGTAAAGATATGTATAATAAATGTACAAAATAATGTAATTTCAGTGCTTTTGATTTATTTTTTAATAATTTCGTAAAAATATAGGTATGTCAGTTTTGTGACTTGGTTTCTAAAAGTGTTCTCAAATATCTTAAAAAATCGTTATTTGCAAAGAACTATGTAATAATTTCCATAAGATTATTATATATTATATATTATATATATATTTTGTTAGAGAAATGTTTCTGATTTACATGCACAAAAAAAGTTCTAGATTCAAGTAAATAATTACTCCAATATTTCTTAACAAATTTGAACTTGGATTAAGTAAATTTTATTTGGATCAAGTAAATATATTTTACTTGAATAATTTATTTACAAAATATTTTATTTAGAAATATTATTTAATCTAAACAAAAATTTGCTAAAGAGTATGGAAATAATTATTTATTTGAATCTCTAAAATTTTTTTCAGTGTGTACATAAATTTTTATTTTACACTTTCAACAGAGCTTTAAAACAAAATGGTATACCTGTTTTAATGTTTTTTTTCTAACGTTTGACAGTGCGATAACGTACACTATGAAACATTGTTATATTCCCGATAATTTAAATTATTCATGCTAATAACCGCGATCGGTTCTCATTGATCTTGCCTCTCTTTCTTCGTTTATTTCAGAACGTATTTATATAGTTTGTACAAAAATTATTGTCTTTGTCTCTCTTTACCTTTCATTGAATATTGTCTCCCGAATACGCGTTGTGCACCACCGTTATGCTATTAGAGTCGCGACGTAAACGCGAACAAACGAAACTTCCCGAGACTCGGTGCAGATAAGACACGATCGAACGGCGTCAGACAACGAAGTGCTCCCTCAGGACGGTTCGCGATTCACCACGATCCGCAATAATGTCGCGCACCTTTTGTCCTCTCTTATTACCGCTTCACCTGCGTTTTCGCCGAGAAAGAGATACAAGTGGTATCCCCTTTCCCCGCTGTCTGAGGAGCGCAATACCGCCAAGCTTTCGCTGTTCCTTATCTTAATTCGAAAACTTTCGAGTCTCGCGAACGGGACGACATTCGTGGCGACTCGCTTAACGACCTCGTTCTCGGCACTCCTTGTATACTTTCCCGCAGGAAAATGCCTTGCCTTTATTATTTTTCATTGTTCTCTCATTCGTTATTTAATCTTCTGGGAAATTCAGCTCACCGAGAGCTCGCGTCGCGCTCCTCGGGGCCCCCGATCGCCTTGATCCATCACTGGCGTGGGCGATGGCGAAGGAGGAAGGAGAAGGAAGGGAAACAGAATCGCCGTACTTACGTAGGCCCGTTACGCCCAATGAATGACGCATCAGGCTCGTACGTGCAGTGCGTTCGGTACGGTGCAGGTGAATACATGTGCTACTGGTGGTCTGGTCTTGCCAGTCGAGGAGAAACCAACGGAGAGAAAGAGAAATACACGGATTTTCCTCGGAAACCATGACGTCCAACAACATCGTCGTGTTGTGCGCGTTGCTATTATGCGGCACGATAGGTAAGATTTTTCGAAGAAGGTGGACTGCGAGAGCCGAAAGAAACATGCCTCTCAGGTAGCGTTCGCCATCTTGAAAACAAACCTTACGTCTATCCACGGACAGATCCGCAAGTTGTTTCTCGAGTCAACGGACAATCGTTCGATCGCTTTCACGCTCTTCGTTACAATTATCCCGACGATACGTAGTCTTGTCAGCCAAGGCGTCACGCGTCTTGATAGAATGCGAAAATTGATCTGTTCTTTTTAGCTGCATTGCTAAACTGATACAATAAGTAAGAATAAGAAGTATATTTTGTCTCGTTCTAACTCATTACACTAGTTTAGCATTGCAGCCAGAAAGAACAGACCAAATGTCGCGAAGAAGCAACAGAGAAATACAAGCGTGCAGAGCTGTAACGAGGTCGACTAGCACCCTTCACCTCAATCATCTAGTTTATAACGTTACACTCACGAGAAATTCATTTAGTTAAATCAATTGAGTTCTTGTTTGGATATGGATAAACAAATGTTTTGGTTATAAGAAGCAAAGTTTGATTCTCTGAACCAAAGGTTTGGTTCTCTAAGTTCAGAAGTTTCAAAGAACCAAAGAGCCATTAAGAGAATTTAGAGAACCAAGTTTTGTTCTTATAACCAAAACATTTGTTTGCCCATATATAAGAATTCAGTTGATTCGACTAAGTGGGTTTCTTAGTGTAACGAAATTGAAATTCTTCTCTCTTCTGAATTACTCCAACCGCCCTGATTGCAGTAAAAAGAATAAATTGTAATTTTGCAAAATAAATATTTCTTATGACTTTTCTTCAATATTTATTAGTTAGAAAAAAATTTCACTATAATGATGGAATATATATTTTTGTGAAATATATCTAAGTTTTCTTATTAATTGGTCTATTTGCTAGGAATAAAATTTAACTGCGCCGTATTTAAATAAACATTTATTTCTGTGAAATAAACATTATATTTCACGAATAAATTTTTAAATAATTTTTCTCAATGTAGATACTCCAATGTTATGAAGTGACCGCGCAGGTGAATGCATGGTGAATTTCTTACGAATTAATGACTTTTAAAATAGGACAATTGTCTCTCCCGTCTACTTTATTAACTCTCACAATCAGACGCCAGTCGCGCTACCACCCGAAGATGTGATTAACATTAATATTGTTCTTCCAATCTGAAATACACAGGTACCGAAGCGATACGATGTTACCAATGCAGCTCCGACACCGATCCGAAGGGCGAGGACATTTGCGGCGCTTACACGAAATTCGACAGGGATAGGAACGTGCCGATCGAATGTAACAGCGAGGAGTCTCATATGCCGGGCACTTTCTGCGTGAAGTTGACCGAGCAGAGCTCGCGTGGTTTCATTTGTGAGTATACTCGCTCCGGAAAGCGACATTCTTTCAACTCTCGCGATTAGTTTTCCTTGTAGCTAATAAGAGGAGAAATTGATTTGGATTGTTCATTTGTTGTTATATCTCCGATGTATTGGAAACGTTTCAATTTCTGCAAACCAATTATGACGAGTCGTAGAGCCACAAAGAGAACGTGGCGATTAATTTCGCGCGTCTGCCGCACTCGAGAGCCGAGCTCGCGATTAATTCCACCGATCGATTAATTAATTAAACCGGAAATGTTCAGGGGACGGTAGGTGGCGGCAAGTGATTCGACGATGTGCCTCCGTCGCCAGCACCGGAGTGACAGGAGTCTGTAACTGGGGCGTCCGCGAGAACGGTGTTTTCTGGCAAGAGTGCTACTGCTCCGAGGACTCGTGTAACGCCGCGTCCAGCTTGTCGCTCGCCACGCTGCTCATGACAACGTGCGCCGCCACCGTTGTGTTGTTTTATTTTAAGTGAGGAAGACTTGTCGAGTTTACAGGACCATAGACTCTCTCGACGAGCAAAAAGAGGGAACATCGGACGCGATTGCAGGGGACCGTTTATGAAGTTCTTATCAAGGGAAGTGAGAGCCGAGGAGAAAAGAAAAAGGGAGAGAGAGAGAGAAAGAAAGCGCGATTTAGCTTGCGTCTAATCCTGAGAAGGATAGTGGAGATGTATTCTGGGAGGATTTTGGAGTTGGCTTTGCCTTAACGAAATTTTAATTAGAAGTGCCATTACCCCGCGCACGGACACTCTCGAATTCCCTCTGCTCGTTAATTTAATTTCCGTCCTGTACACTTTTAAACACGCCGACGCATGAAATTTTATTCTATTTATTATGTACATTGTCCCTGGAAACAGTGAATTTTAATCTGCGAAACTTTCAGAAGCGATATCGCGTTGCGCGTCTAATTGACGCGCCTCTGATTTTCGTTAAGCCGAAATCCACTCCGAAGTTGCCAAAGAGTACGCTTTTGTTCACCGAGCCTGCCTGTAGATACGCCTGTAGATACGAAACAGTATATCCGTCCATACGATACGCGTTAATCCGTTAACGCCTCGTGTTACACAAGAGCGAGAATCCAGAATTAAATCTCAAGCAACATATTCCGTCCGTAGGGTCCGTATCGTTAGTTCGTTTTACGTCGTTGAAGAGAAACATCGTCACGAGAAAGCTGCGGTGATAGATCTGTTAATTGTTACATTCGAAGGAACAAACGATGAGATCAGTACAAAATAGTTTGAAAGCAATAATCGACGTTACTACGTCGTCACGCCTTCGATTGTCAGAGTTCGTTGCAGCTTTCGAATTTTTATGTAATTTTATATTTTTCTACATTCATATAAACTTTGACGTGCATGTTATGCGTGTTACACAACTGAAAAGACAGATTAATCACTTGATTGATTATATTATATATTATTATATATACACAAAATAAAATATGTTACATTATGTAAAGCATGTTTGAAAAATTCAATTTTATATGATATTATGTATAAATATATATATAAAAAAAGTACATTTTTACGCTTAAAATGTGTTATGGAAAAATATTTCACCGATAAAACCGACGCTGGGTAAAAACCGAAATCGACGAAGAGAGCCGAAATTATCCGAGAGTATTCAATCGATACAAAATGATACGATTTTCCCTCCGCTTTTTTCGAGCATCGCGAACATTTCGCGAACGAACTCTCCTCGAGAGTTCAGTTCGATTTTCCCTTCTTGTCGTCGCTTGCCCTCGCGCGAAAATTTCTTTCCACGCACGACTTTTTCGGCTGTTCGTTCAGCTCGTGAATCTTTGAGAAACCATTAGACGCGCTCGCACGTCCTGCGGCGGCATTAACGAGCCGGAAAAACGCGACGAAAATGAAACCTACTTTTGTCTCTCGACTTGACTAACTTTTTATGCGGCCCGGGAAGAAAACACGGCCCGCCGGGAGATTAATGTTTTCCGCGGCGCTGATCGTGTCCGCGCGAAATTCTCATTTGCGACTGTTTACGCCTGCTTAAGTGCGGCTTATACGCTATTTCAGTCGCATTTAACGCCACTAGATTACACCGGGCCCGGTCTTATCTGGATTTACGGGTGCCTGATGTCGCCTTCCTTGTTTTTACGTGCGGTTTAAATTAACGACCGCCTCCCGAAGCTTTATTTAGATCTGTCCCAATTCCGATTAACCTGATTATTTTTCCAGCATGCGAATAATGAAACGTCGTTGGCCTTAATTAGGTGGCCTCGCGGCTCTTTTCCCCATTAAAGCCCGCCGCTGGAAAAATATAACACAGAAACGAGAGTCATATTATCATTCGAGCTCCCGCTTGCTCGACTTATCCACCTCAAACTTCGACTGAATACCTCACGCTTCCGCTCAGCGCGTTTCAAGTCAAATTTAAAAAATACCAGATAAAAGGGCCAGTCGAGATCGCAAGTGTGAAGATTGTCCCCCGGAGGCGTCCGCACAGAAAAGAGAAGAGAAAGAAAAGGAAGGTCGAGGGAGGAGAGAGAGAGGACATCGTCGAAGATACACCGCGTACCTTAAATCCGTCACGTCATTCGCACGCAGGTCGGGCGAGATCCTTGAATCGGGCGCGGCTCCTCTTACAGGAACTTTCGCAGCAACGTCCTCGACGCTATTATACCCGCAGCAGCCGAGAGATGACGTCGCCGCGGGCACACTTCCGGTATCAAGCGAGGAGAAGCCGCCAACCCTGCCGGCACACCGGCGCGCGTCACCGTAAATGCCGGAAATTCGGCGGCCGCGAGTTAATTACGTCACGCCTGTGAGACTATTAATGCCTCAACAGATCCGACGCGCCGTTGTATATGCACAATGGCCTTGGCTATTTAGGCCCTTCGCGTATACATACATTACGCGTCACCGTCCTGTGCCAACCCTCGTTACTCGGCCCCATCGTGATAATTAAGATGGTCGCGTTGAACGTCGTTGCCGACGACGCTGGTAATACTTTGGGAAAGGCCTTATCGCACGTCCCGATCCCTCCCCCCCCGAATTTACGCAAGACCGACATTCCGGAAGGCGTTTCTTCGTCGGAAGGACGAACGTAAATTCGAGACGGGCCGGATTCAAACTGGGGATCGGGCGAACCAAGATTGATACACGCGAAGAGAAAAGAAAGAGAGAAAGAGAGTAGAAGAGAATAGAATATATATTTAATTATGTTTCCTGGAATTTAAAACTTCTTAAAGTATACAGCAATAATATGTAATAGTTGGTTGTCAAATGCCCGAGTCGATCAATATACATAGTTATTTAAACCAAAATTCCTGACTAAACAAAGAAAGAAATTGGATTGAATTACAAATAAATATTAAGTCGCAGTATTCTGATTTGAATGATGAGTAAAGGTGAGGTAAGAAAGCAGAAATCTGAATAAATTTGCGTATTAACTAAATATAATGTAATATAACCGAGAGAATATTAGGAGTAAATGGCGAAAAAATTAAAATTAAATGCTACGTACTAAGAGCTAAGCGCGTTGCATGAAGAAAAATCAAGGTTTTAATGAAAAACTAAGAAAATAAGGAGAGAAAAGAAAACTTTACAGAGCAAAAGAGCGGATTCGGAAATTCGCGTTAAAGGAAGAAATATTATAAAACGGGCCTTTAAGAGCCAAATCATAATGATTAGCGACATATTATTTTAATTATTGTGAGAGGATACATGTATATGAAAATATATATAAAAAAATTATTGACTCCGTTCATTGACTCAATCATTGACTCGTTCGTTCAGCATGGAAGATTCTTCGCATATGTTTGCTTGAAAAATTATCCAGTGCATGCGCCATTACACACTCAACAATATATCCTTCCGTAATAATTAAAATAATATGTCGCTTTAACAGCTGCGATTTGGCTCTTAAAGACCCGTTCTGTTTCTTTATGGTTAGTCACCATGTGCGATTTGTTGCGATCGTAATAGGAGATTCGTGGATTTCACAAGCGTGAGTTGCTGACTATGTAACATCTCAGACAACACAATGTCCAAAATCGGGACATAAGACGTTTTTTAGACGTCTTAACCACTTGCGCTGGCAAGAAATTCACAGGCGCGTGTGCCAGAACGGTCCAGTGTAACTCGCTGGGAGGCGTCACACAGGATTTTGGACATTTGTGCTGTCTGGGATTCCAAACAACACATGTATTTAAAAGACGTCTTAATGTTATCTGGGTTGGAAGGTGATGAAGGAAACTGGATTAATTTCACCGGCGAGAATTTCGAGAAACGGCGGCTTTTACGTTTAAAAAGATCACGCGTTACCTTGTTCATCATCCTCGTTAGAGATGCAAAGGGGTCGTTGTTAAGATTTCGGGCGAGGATGGTATATTAGCGATTTTCCCGGACGGGCGCTTCATTTTCTACGGCGGAGTGGCTCCACCGGCTGCATTCTGGTCGTTATTGCATCACGGCCTGCTTAATTAGCCGTCGCGAGGGCGGAAAGTGCGCAACCTTGGCGCCCCCAACGGCACTTCCTATTTTCATAACGCGCTCCGCTATCCTATAAGAAGGCACGAGAGGATAAGCGAGTTTCGAGAATCTCGAGAAGCTTAACTCGTTATATCACCGCGTATAATTTATTTTACGCCTCGGGCTTTTAACTCGAAATAATATCGTTGCATGCGTATTTTACCGTGCGGTTCCTTACTCCTTTAAAAGCTTCACGTATAACAGTCGGGGTGACTTTCGTCAAACTCCAATAGAACTAATCGACGGTTAATTCAGTCGACAGAGTCGCCAACATGAGAGATAAAACGCAGTTTGTTATTACGAGTAAGATCATTTTTGATCTGTTCTTTTTAGCTGAACTGGCTGCACTAGTTCAAGAAATTTACCTACACATTGAAGTGTGTGTGAAACGTACGTACAAAATTATCACACTTCAGTTCAATTATAAAAAAACAGACCAAATGTGTATGTAAATTTCTTGAACTAGCACTGCCAATTAAGAAATTCAGTTAAAAAGAACAGACTATCTCTTGTTTTCTCTTTATAACATATTTAAAACTGATATCAGTTGTGTATTAACTGCTTCTTTAGCTGATACGCAGAATTATTAATTTTCTGGTTGTTGTTGGACAACAAATCGCATAGCTGGAGATTTTTGTTGTCAGTATTGTATGTGCCGGTTAATCATCGGTTAGTTTAATGATGGTAGTTGGATAGAAGTCATCTTTAGAATCAAGATTTCGATCTTTCGCATTCTTCAAATTTTATTTGTTTATGTTGAATCTTTCTCAAAAATTAGAATTTTTACAGTTAAAATTTTCGGATTCGCAGTATTTGAATTAAAATGTTTTAATTTGTTAATTTATAATTTGTCGGAAAACAGCCTAATGTAGACCATTGCGTTCTTTTTTACCCAGACTCCTTGTTCAATGCGCAAACGCAGGAAATTAGTTCCGCTAGTAATACTGCGCCGGAGTGCGTCGGGAAATAAATCCGCAGTTAGGTTAGGCTATGTTTAGTCAGGTTATGGTTAGAGATAGGTTAGAGAGGTTAAGTTAACGACGGTGGTTGTGTCAGCAATTCGACGTATCGCAGGTTGCAGGTTAGCAAATTCGCGTTAGTGATAATTACTCATTTTGAAAATAGAATAAACCGTTTTGCCATCATCGTGTTATTTTCCGCTTAACGTTTTTCGATGTCTCATTGGTCTGTAACGTATTCAATGGACGACTCTCGAGTTTTGCACTATGTATCGAAAATAACCTCAAAATCAGTACAACGTGTTACAAACTCAGTTTAATAAAGGAAGAGAAAAGAGAACGTTCAGCGGAAGAGAACAGAAGATGTCTGATCGTAACATATACCGCGGCGAATTTTGCAGAAGAATATCGCAAATCATGAACATGGTCGCGGATAGCGGACTGACGCGTTTTGAAATGTTTTTGTTCGTGGCGAGGTTGACTTGCGTCACAGCGATCGGCTTCTTCAGCATGAAGTGGGTTATGAATCAATTGGATCCCAACAGTACCAGCAAGAAGCGAGCTAAGAAAAAGGTTCATTAGTCGTTATGTATTGTGTCCGTGAGGGATAAGTCACGATCGTGCATTATTTCCCACTTGCAAGCAGAGCTCTGATCGTATGATGTAACACAAAGAGCATCGAAATCACGAGTAATATCGGCACTTATTATGGAAACAATATGTGTTTTAGGCTCGCGAGCAGTTGCGCAAATTGGCTGAAACTGACAATCACGCGCGATCCTTTGATTTAGAGCAGCTAACTGATTATGAGGCAATAATAGCTACTCACTTAGTAGATCCAAATGACATCAAAGTGTCATGGAACAACATTGCTGGTTTGGAGCATGTCATTCGAGAGCTCAAAGAGACTGTCATATTACCCATCGAAAGGAAGGAGCTATTCGAGGATTCTCAGCTGACGCAAGCACCTAAGGTGCCTTGGTTATTAATTTATCATTGAAAGAGAAAGAGATCATAGTTTCTAAGATGGACTAATAATTGAAACGTGCTTGCATGTTGCTTTCAGGGAGTATTGTTGCATGGCCCACCAGGTTGTGGCAAAACCATGATTGCAAAGGCTACCGCCAAAGAGACAAAGACACGCTTTGTAAACTTGGATGTCAGCATCCTAACTGACAAATGGTATGGGGAAAGCCAAAAATTAACCGCTGCTGTTTTCTCTTTAGCGGTGAAGCTTCAGCCTTGCATCATCTTCATCGATGAGATCGGTACATTGCAACAATAATTCCTTAAATTCGAAAATAATGCTTTCTTTCTTTTTGATTTTGTTTCTTCTCAGATATTTTTATTCTTCATATTTTTGTAAAGTATACGTGTGTGTGTGTGTGTGTGTGTGTATGATAATTTGCTATAAATTGCAAATTCTAAATATATACGTTAAAATTATACTTTGCAGTTGATAGACAAGATTTCTCGCTTCTAACGTACTTTTAAAATCGACAGATTCGTTCTTAAGAGTGCGTAATACGCAAGATCATGAAGCTACGGCGATGATGAAGGCTCAGTTTATGTCGTTGTGGGATGGTTTGATAACCGATCCTTCATGTACCGTAATTATAATGGGAGCTACTAACAGACCACAAGATTTAGATAGGGCAATTCTGCGGCGTATGCCGGCGACTTTCCACATTGGTTTGCCGGTGAGAATTTATAAGTATATTTATAAGTAGTTGTGCTTGATTAAAAAGATTTATTACTGTAAAGCGTACATGATAATCGTAACATGTAAGCATTACAATGTATTCATGGTCACATAATGATGCAATATCCGTCTCAGAATGAGCAACAACGGTTAGATGTTCTGAAGTTGATTCTGCGGAACGAACCGATAGCCGATAACGTGGAGATCTCGACATTGGCGAAACAAACGGAAGGCTTTTCCGGCTCGGATCTACAAGAACTTTGTCGGAACGCGTCCATCTATCGTATCAGAGATTACCTACATACGCAGTACGTATATCCAAATCTATCATAATGATGGGAATGAATACAGATTTTTTCTCCGGAAGTGAGAAATTCTGAAAGCAGGGTATGTCCGTTGTGGACGTTCCATAACGTTGTTTACTTTACAGCGATGGGTCCAATTCGTCGCATACTACGGACGATGAAGAGTATCACGATGCAGTGCGGCCCATTACGATGGAGGATCTGCTGAAGTCGTTCAAAAACATGCGAATGTCGAAATTACACACAGGCATATTTTGCACGGCGAAGCCGCCGGACTTAGATTAAAAGAGGAAAAGTCGGAAATGTCCTATTGTATCGCATTAGTTGTCTATGAGTTCTGACGGTTTTTCACGTTGTTTTAATTAGCAACGTGAGATGCTATTTTGCAAATTTCCTTCCGGATCATCAATATCGAGAAATTTTTAACAGTTTTGTCCAACGATATGTCGGGGTAGCATGAAAAATTATAATTTAGTTAGTATCCCAATTATACTTACAATTTCACGATTAAAGCAAAAGACATTGCATAAATACATTTTTTAATGAGATAAAATAAAGTTACGCGGTAAAGAATACGATCGTATTATGACGTCAAATGCGTACGATAACGTATAACGAGGAGGGAGAGGGAGAGAGAGAGAGAGAGAGAGAATGAGAGAGTGAGAGAGAAAGAGTGAGAAATGATATTAAGATATTTATATCTGCGTGGGAAAATTTCAGTTTTGTACGATGTTTAGAATGCTATCCTGTTTCTACAAACTTTCGACTCTCAATTTAGAATAATATCCTTTGAATAATTTCTTCTGCGATGAAAGGTATGTGTCCAACGTCTGTTATCTTTGTACGATTGAACGTACAACAGTATTAAATTACGAGAAGAAAAGAACTCATATAGATAGGACGATTTTGAATAATACAACATGTGTGATCAGGTGGGCCGATAATGAAAACGAGAAACGATAAATTTCATTTGTTACACTAGTTGTATCGTCAAGAACGACGCAAAAGCGACACGCGTATGATCTTACTCGTTCGCATTTGAGTCTGGAAGTCTGAGGCTCAGTGTACCTCATCGCTATAATATATTTTTGCATATAATGTATTTGATCTGTTTATGTATAAGTCCAGATAACACGCAAAATGCATTTCCGTGCGCATTCTTGAACAAGAGTAATTTATATTTAAGTCAAACAACTGGAACTGTAAACTGGAATCATAGCAATTATTCATATTAAACCTAAATCATACACTTTGTTGGCAATCTCTTTAGTATTTATTCTAGTACACTTCGATAAAGAGATTCGATTCTAGTAGATCGATATTATTTGCAAATTTTATATATTAAACATAGAAGAATATATAAAGAGAGATTTAAAGGGAGAACAAAAAATGTTAAGACATTTTTAGATTGAATCGTCTTACATATCGACAAAGACATCGAGCTTTCTTTTGCGTCACAGTTTCAGTTTCAGCTGTATTCACGTGCGTCTTGATGTAATATAAATACACGCTGATACATTTTTCCTCTTTCTTCTAATCTTTTTTTTTCTTTTCTTTTTACAAGCTGTTACGAACACGACCTTAACCTTCATGTGCCATTCGCGATTTCATTTCAAACTGGCGATTGTGTCTTATTTACGATTCCCAACTGTCCGCCATCAAGGAGTACAATTAAAAAAGTCGTAATGAACTTAACAATATAAACGTTAAATATATGCCGATCTTGTACATATACATGTAAAAAACAAAATACATAGTACATCGTTTAATACAGAAGTTATCTAGAGACGCACTTTTTCAGATTTAATTCAGCAATTAACGTAATTGGGGAATTGCTTTGTTGTTATCACTCCATTGCAGAATAAAATAAGAAAATATTAAAAGAGCACCGAGATTACGTAAAAAAAAAATAGAATAACAAATTTGCAAAACACTTTGAGATTAAGCGCCAAAAACAAGTGAATAATAATATGAAATATATATACGTATAGCTAGTGAAAAGAACGAACACAGAGATGTATAGCAGTAAATGCAACTAATATAGAAATAAAAGTGGAAGGAGAGCTCTCTCTAAAATGCAGTAAAATTTATTTCAGGTCGAGGCAATAGCTTAAAGGTAGTAACTGTAGCCAATAACTACCCCGATGACGACGGTCCTCACAAAATTCAGGAAAAAAAAGTCAGGTAGAAAGTTGGAAGAATGACAGCATCTCACGAGAGGAACAGACGTTTATTTAAGAAGAAGCAGGACTGCGATTACGCGGTATCAATGTGTCGGTGTAAAAAAACGTCAAATGATACTTTTGCGAAAATATTTTTCCAAATCATCATCTTTCTCTCTCTCTCTCTCTCTACCAGACTTCGTAACGGAAAGTGAAATTATCAAAACGAAATTTCACCTGCGACGATCACAGACGTAATAAACGCGACAGATGCTTGACGGAGAAACGCTCGAATCGCAATCGATACATCGTAATTAAGAAATTATACAGGTGAAATCTCGTTCTTGATAAATTTATTTAGGCTGCAGCAGCAACGATAACAATAACAGGGGGAATCAAGAGAACCGAAGACGCGACGTTCGCGCGCTCCTCACCTCCTGCTTCTCCTCTTCCTCCACCATTTCCTCCTCCGCCACCTCCTCCCGCGAGGCGATCCGGAGGAGCCGCGGGCGCGCGCGCACGCCTGACAAGAGAACGCCGCGACGGTGAATCCGGCAAGTGAACGCGAGCGTGCGTGCGTGCGTACGTACGTACGTACGTCCCGGAACCGACGTAGCGGAGTGAGCGAGCGAACACGAGCGAGTGAGCGAAGCCGCCTGCGAGGCCGGCCGCGGGGGTGGAGAGGAGGGAAGAAAGCGGAAAAAAGACACGCGCCGTCATGACGTTAACATTAACGACACGAACCGAGCGTACCACGACGTGCCGCCTCCGTCGTCGCCACCGTGCAAGAAGGTGCCGGTAATATCTCGCGCGCGCTGACGCCTACAGCCTCGGCTACAGAACGTAGAGGTACGCCGCAGGAGCGACGGCGACGATCTTCATCTATTCGTCCGTATGACAAGAGAGAGGGAAGGAGGAAGGGAGGGAGAGAGAGAGAGAAAGATCGTGCGCGCGGAGATAGAGGGAGACAGGAGCAAGAAAGAGAGAGAGGGAGAGAGAGAGAGAAGGAACGAGCAAGTGTAAGGCCAGCATTTCATTTGTCGTACGATGAGCATTGTTGGATGTGCCGATTGGCTGTGGCGAGCGCGCATGCGGCCGCACGTACGACAACATTTGTCATACAATATGTAATATAACCTTTACTGCGCTGTTTATCGGCCAGTCGCCATATTGTCGTAAACGAAACGTCGTAAGAACGTCGGTCTCTCTGCTCGACTTTGCGCTACGACAAAAATCTGACAACTCTCCGACGGACGCCCCTCCACTTGTGTACTTGTCGGGAACCAATCGGTACGTCCGACAAACTCGTCGTGTATATACGACAAATGAAATGTTAGCCTAAGCAGCGCGCGCGTCGTCGTCGTCGGCCGCGCTCTGTCTCTTTCTCTCCGTGTCAGTTTGGAATCGCGTCGCGGTCCGCCGATCTCTCGATGGGAAGCAACATGTGACGAGTCTCGGTGCGCGAGATCGCGTGCGACTTTGTAGAGTCGCGCGAGAGCACGGCCGCCGACAGCATCGCGGCCGCCGTCGATCGCGTGAAACGAACGGCGCCGCCGCCGTGTGCCGCTCGCGCGCGCGCGCACGCATGCGAGAAGGAGCGAGAAGAGGCGCTCCTGTCTGCCTCTCGCTCACTCACTCGCTCTCTTTACGGGAGAGTGCAAGCGCGCTTAACCTAAAACTCTCTCTCGCTCGTTATCGCTTCCCTCGTCCCGTCTTGTGTCATCTCATTTCGTTTCGTCTGGTCTCGTCTCGCGAATCTCGTCTTGTATTCCGGTGAATCCGTCGCACTTCGATAAGCGATACCGCGAATAAAGCGAAGCGAGCGAGCAAGCTAGCAGGAGCAGCATCACCAGCAGCACGTCGAATCGATCTCGACGCCGCTTGATCGCGCCGAGAGATCATCTCGCTCCTAGGCATCATCGTCGCCGCGCTTCGTCTGTCGGCGATGCTAACCTGTCGCGCATCCGTCTCGCTGAGCGTTTGTCGGCGTTAACGCGTGTGCAAGTAGTTTAGTGCCGCGGCTGAACGGGCGCCCGTGAGCGAACACCTCGCTCTTTCTCGTTCTTTCGCTCCGTCAGTGTCACCACGTTATTCCAGGTAACGGTAGAACATCGTAGACTCTCCTCCTCCCCCCTCCGTTGGCTGGCGCGGGTGATGATTGTCCTTGTGGTTTCCGGGGGGGCAGAAATGTCTGTCTGTTCAGTGGAAGGATAAAGAAGTTCATTGGACAATGTTGTGGCCAGTGCCCTTGGTAGTAACTATGTGCTTACGCAGACTGTGAGAAAGTCACTGTCTGTTCCTGGCCAGTATACCCGTCAGCGGGGTTGAACACTCGCGGAATCCTCCTGTGGAAGCCTCTGCCTGTATCCTACCTCGTGGGAAATACATATACCATTGTGTATGGTGTGGGCTTTTGTGTTATGTGTTCTTTCACCAGTGTAGACAGCTTTTCTGTTCTGGACAAAGGCTCGGCTTTCTGCCAAGGTTTGCTGTGTGTGTACATGTATGTGTGTGTATATGTATGTTTGTGAATCACACCAAACCTCGGACTCTGGGCATTGGGCACTGGTGATCACCATGAGGTCCGTGTCCAGTCAAGAACCTATCGAGCTAAGCTTCACAGTGGAGACATAGAACACTCTCTCGATGAGAATGCATAATTAAAAGGACACATGTTCTGGGAATTGATGGGTATATGCTTTTCCTGCAGGAGACCCACCAGTGGCAGGTTGAACAGTAAAATCTCTGAGCATATTTCGGCATCAGTAACTCCCCTCCATGTTTGTCTGGAGGAACAAAGAGGACCAGAACTGGGCTCATGTGACGCTCCAGCTCACAAGCCTAAGGTAAGCTTGCACATCGTATTTAGTTCGATAGAATTTGTGTCTACATGCGTTATTCTTTCATCGGGTGATTTTCACCACAGGTCAAAAGTACCTTTGAGAATCAAAAAGCAGAAGAGGAGGTTCCAGAGGAGGCGGAGGGTGGATCAACCGAAATCGAAACAGAAGAGTTAAAACAGAGTCAACCGAGTATGGCAAATACCATCAGCAACATGAAAATGACTAATCCTATCAAAGGGTTGGTCAGCAAACGCCGTAAACGTTTTACAGAAGATGGGTTTGACCTTGATCTCACGTGTATCCTTCCTTATTCAATAGACACAAAGAAAAAAAAGTTCTGTTCTAGCTAGAAATATTTGTAAACACTTAGAAGTTGATTCTCTGGTGTCATTTATATGATATTTGATGAAGGTATAGTTATTTGGTATACATTTCTGCATTTGTTTATGTACCATTAGATATTAGAATATTCCACAGGAACAAAACAATGTATGCTTTGTCTCTATGTTTCTTATCGCTTTTATTTATAACAAATTCCTTAACTGTTTTCATACCAGATATAAGAGATAATTTAATAGCAATGGGTTTCCCTGCTGAGAGGCTGGAAGGAGTATACAGAAATCATATTGACGATGTTGTTAAATTGCTGGAATCCAAACACAAAGATCATTATAAGATTTATAATTTGTAAGTTGTTAAAATAGCAACACTGAGACAAAGCTTCTCAATCGCAACAAACAGCTTTGCTTTGCTGTTGCGAACATTATATTAACGTCAAAATTTATTCAGGTGTTCCGAAAGGTCCTACGATTGCAAAAAATTCAAACAGAGGGTGGCGACTTACGCATTCGACGATCACAATCCACCGAAACTAGAACAAATTAAGCCGTTCTGCGAAGATGTGCACCATTGGCTATCCCTACACAAAGAAAACGTAGCCGTGGTCCATTGTAAAGCGGGTAAAGGTCGGACAGGTGTAATGGTGTGCTGCTATTTACTCCATAGCAAGCAATTCGCCAATGCCATGGATGCTCTTAATTATTACGGAACGAAGCGGACTCACGACAGGTAAACGCCTTAAAAGTTTGTACTATAGAACGTATTGTAAATAGCGCGACATCGAGATAATTCTCTCACATTTGGTTTTACTGTGTGCTGTAGGAAGGGTGTGACGATACCTTCGCAGAGGAGATACGTGGACTATTACGCAACTCTTGTTCAAGAAGGTCTCAATTATCAACCAGTGACATTGATACTTCGTAAAATACAACTGGATCCGGTCCCCATTTTTAACGGTGGTCAAGGAAGTAAGTATAAAACGTAAATGGGTATATTATTATCGTCTTAAAATCACTAGAAATTTATTCTAATACACTTTAAGGGAGTATTATTATAACATACTATTAATTTTTCTCTTATTCATATGAAGAAAAATTGTGTTCACTAATTTTTCTTTTAACTGATATCTCCGGCGCAAATTCAATTTATATAACAGTTAATTTATACGATAGCTGTCTTTGGAATAATTAGACCTTATAACACGTTCTTCGTCCGTTGTGTCCTAGCTGTGCGTTTTGTGATCTCGGAATCTAACAAAAGGATATTCATGGAAGATTACGAAGTACGGAAAGGTACCTCTTCTATAACCATCTCGCTAGAGCGCAGCGTAGCATTAACGGGAGATATACGGGTGGATTTCTTCAACAAGCCGAAGATGAAACGGAAGGTAGGCTGAAATTGAAATTTTCTTAATTTACTTTGACGTGCGGGGTGTCCACGGTAGATCACTGTTTCGATTGTCTTTCTAGGAGAAGATGTTTCACTTTTGGTTCAACACGTTTTTCGTCCGAGAATACACAACCTCTGACTACGACAACGGCGAGTTACCGAGATCGACAAGGGCATTGAGCTGCGACGGCACGGCCATGGAGTCGCCAATGGTTATGTCGCACGTGAGATCTAGGACTGGATCGTTGGCGAGTCTCGGCCCCATGCCTCCTACTCTCGTTTTACGGATAGACAAGTGGGGTTTAGATGATGCCCACAAGGATAAGAATCACAAGCAGTACAGTTCAGATTTTAAAGTGAGTGTTCCACCACACCTGTCGCGATATAACAATGAAATCGAAGCGAAAACACAGTGTGGATCGATCGTATTGGACTTTCATCGGTCCTAAAACCAATTCAAACCAAAGTCCCGAAACATTTGAGTATCCACTGAGATCCGAATTAACAACAAGCCCCAACGATCACTCGCGGTCTCTCTTGATTACAGGTGAGTCTATTTATGCATTGCGTGGGCGGAAGTATATCGCCGGCAGTGCCGGCGTCGACGAACAGAACAGGGGACGGTGTGCAGCTGGGGATGGCTGGGCAGGAGACGTCGAGTGAGTCGAGCGAGGCGGACAGTAGCGAGTGCGACACGACCGGCGACGACGAGGACGGTTGGGATTCTGGTGAGTCCTCTGCATCTCTGGTGGTGAACCACCGCCAACACCATCCCCTTATACACAGCAGTAGCCGTACACACGTTACTACCGCTAATCCGCGACTCAGTCTGAAAGAGACGGCTAAGGGCTTGCTGTCGCGCGGCGATAAGAGCAGGAGCAGTAACAGGCAGAGCGTGGTCGGCGCGAACGCGAAGTGCGCCTCCGTGTTCGCGCGGCCGACCTCTCTCGACACGTAGTTAGTAGCTAGCTCGCTTCTGGTACTTAAGAAAGAGCGGTTTTTCTCCGTCGGTACTCTTCGCGCGCGCGCGCACACTCACACACACACACATGTATACGCAAGTACACTTTTTTCCTCGCGAAATCGCACGACACGCGCGCGCGTTTCGCGTTCTCTCCGCGAAATCGCGAAACTACGCACACGATTGATGTATTTTCTTTTTCTTTCTTTCCGCGCAACGGTGCGCTTATTTAACGGCTTGGTACGCATAGAGTGATGACTAGGACCCGGATTTTTCCCCATTCTTTTTTTTGGCCTTAATAATATTCGCTACTCTTCTCTTAATTGTACAGTGTCATTTCCTTTTTCACATTCTTTTTATCCGTCTCTATACATATATATATATATATATATATATATCTTTCTCTCCTCTTTCTCTTTCTTTCTCTTCGGTACATCGTGGGACCATGAGCTTTACTTTTTCCGCATTGACGACTCGTATCTTACCGATTAGAATCCGCGACGAGCGTCACGATTGTTCGCGTAATGTTCGATAATTCAGGCGGTTGGTGTCATTCAGCTCCGACTCGCGACTCTTCGCAGCGATTTGTGCAAATCGATCGGCTTACCTTAAGAAGTAACGCCGTGATTAACGCAATAAATTCTCACGGCAGAAAGAGGTGCACATTCGGGCCCTAGTTGTAACATTTGTGACAACAACCCGACCGTTTTGTTACTCTGGCACGTAATGAATCGCGAACCGACACCGCCAGCCAGTTCGCTCCGGCGACTCGTGTGTCTCGCGCGAACGTGTGTATTGTCATGTGTTTTCGAACGATCGCCGTATCATGCGACAGGGCATTTATCTGTTAAACGGAATCTTCGAAATTGTATCGGGAACTGTCCGGCACGCCGCTGTCCACGCAGCAAATTGTTCGGAAACGAAGAAATCGGTAACTTGTATCACGATTATTCGCAAACGATTCAATAAAAGGAATCTTTCGTAGCAAAATTCGCAACGGCTCATCCTTTCATTTTTTTTTCTTTTTCTTTAAATCGGCATTCGCGTGTCATTCTCGAGAACGCGAGACGAATTATCGGTTCTTCCCCCCTTCCCCCCCTTTTTTTTTTTTAATTTCTTACCGGAATCGCGTGTACGCTCGCATACAGCGTCGAACTTCTCCGTAACTCCGTCGGAGTTGAGAATCGCGTCGGTACAGGGGAAAGAGAAGGAGAATACACAGAATACACACATTGAGAGCTGTCAGGCTGTGCGATATCCGAGGTCTTGGGTATCCTCTGAACACGAATTTCTGAGCTCGCGTTCACGCGCGCCTCTCACTTCAATCGGAGCACTCTATCTTGTAGGATAACCCTTGTTGACCATTTTTCTTGTGATTATATTATATCTAAGTGATACGCATACATTTTTATTATTATATATACATAGTATATATATATGTATATTATATGTAGACGTTTGTGAGAGGTAAGCGAGGAATTTACAGATATACGTGAGAGAACAATTACGTTTGACTAATGTTAAAACGTACATATAGCTTCACCATAGGTACATACATACACACAGGTACATACACATACACAGACACACCACGTACACACAACAGAGACAAATCGACATTTAGACATATAGACAGACAGACAGAGATACTTATATTCCACCAAAGTAAATCGTAGTACAACTCTTGAACAATTTATGCGCTGTTAAGATAATCTCGTAAACGGGACGAGGAGGTGAAAGAAAAAAAAAGGAAGGAGCGTAACAGCGCACGGAATAGACGGCGGTAAAATTCGGTTTTAAGAAAGCGGTATTAAAACTGAATTTCTACCAAGCCGGTTGCCGGGATCTTTACAGCTCGCAACAGGAAGATACACGTTTGCTTGTCGTTTATCGTGACGAAGTACAAATTATGTAGAGATCAGCTTTTATATATGTACGTTGTACGTTCGTTAAAACCGTCGGGGATTTATACGCGAGTGCCACGGGTGCTGCCGACTAGATAGCGATTTTTCTACTCGGTTTACAACGCTAACAGAAACGCGGATCACAAAACGGGACTCAGACCTATAAGTAGTAAAAGTTCAGAAAAAGAAGGAGAAACGTGAAACACGAGACATCAGGCAGTGTACAAAGGAAGGGAAAAGAAAAGAGAAAATCTGAGCGTAGATTTAAAACCGATTGTCTTTCTACTGTCTATATTGCTTTTTAATGTATACAGACAGGATTACACTTAGATTTAGATACATACGTAACTCTCGTTGCGAATGTATGTATAAATATACATAATCTATATATATATATATATATATAAATATACGATAGGAAGTATATAAATTACATAACTGAGTAGTGGACATACACCGGCTTCGGGGTTGAACGAATAGTTATCACGCAATTATCTATCGAGTTCTACAGTTTCTTTTTTCACTAGATTAATTAGGTGAAATTGTTAAGTAGAGGTATGGTGGTAATTGTAACTCTCGATTAGCGCGATATAGAGCGAACGAATAAGCGTCGTTTAGTATTACTTTATCGGGTTAAAGCCGAGAAACTATCTCTTCGTACAAGGCTGGAGTTGTGAGATACGGTGAAAATATAAATTGCGTTTTTTTATTTCCCGCGACGATGAATCGAATTTTAATATCGCTTGGAGCACACACACATACACACGGTGTTATTTGCGATTAATAATAATATGTACGTATTAGTAAAGTGAGTGAAAAGAAAGGAAAAGGAAAAGAAAAAGTAGGAAGATTTGGAGGCGTCTTTTCGTTGATAACGGTGTCCGTTTCTAACGATTAGTAAGAGTGGAACAGACAGACAAATAAAACAAACAACCACACATACTCACACACTCACTCACTCTATACGTTCCGCCGTATCTCTGAATACGTAGGAGACGATTATATTTATTGTATAATTAGAATTTTGTTAAAACTTCTGAGTAAAGATAAGGTGAACGTCCGTGTAAGATTTTTTCGCGACCAGAACGACCAGGAACGTCTGTAATCGCGATGAAATTCGTCACACGCGCGTGGAAGTATGTGAATAATTACCCTGTTCAAACGTAACTGAGGAGCTCGCGAAGTAGTTCGCGAGGAGCATCGTGCGATTCAAATTCTCGAGATCTATATCTCCCCCTGCCCGTTCCCCTCTCTCCGTGAAGTTAGAATTAAGATTCGCGAAACACGGATTTGTAAATACGTAGCGATGAATTTACGTCGGTGTGTATTCATAAGGGCCGACTCGGCAGACCGACTCGTACAATGTACGTAGAGGATGCCACACAGTTCGCGATCTTAATTTCAACGACAAATTCTCCGGTGTATCTTCGAAGTCGATTGTTTGGTGACGTCGAGACACCCACATAAGTTGGAAGAATTGAAACGGAAGAGTTCGTCACGAGGTGGATTTAGCCGGACAAATATATTCGTGACGAAACGATAGGAATTGAGAAAATCGACGAGAGAAAATCGATCTCGAATCTTCCGAAGAGGAGCACGTCGTTGAAATCACGATTGCGCGAATCGCGGAATTTGTACATATATTTGTCGTGTGGCGTGCAGGTTTTCCGGAGACGAGAGCGTCTCCGAAATATCTCAGGCTG